CGTCTGCCTGGGTTCCCGCTGCGCCCTCGCACCTGCGAAACCGATCGAGCAGGCGGCCGCGCCGAAAGTCCCGTGCACCCGGGCGATCGTGTCCCGAACGAGGCCGCTCAGCACTCGGTCCTCCAGACTCAGGCGGCAGCGCGCGTCGTCAGATACCAGTTCGCAGAGCAGGTACCTGAGGCAAGCGAGAGGGAAGTGAGCGCGAGCCGGGGCCTCGAAGACCAGGCAGAAAACGGGGGGTTCTGGAAGGGGCTGCTTACCTATGCTTGAACCGCACCATGGCTGCCTTTGCGCCAGCAGGCCTGACATGCAAACCGGATGTCGATCCCGCCCTCAGCCAATAGGAAGTTTGCTTTCTCAGCCTTCGGCCACTCAGGAGAAGGAGGCAGGATAGGAGGGTGGAGCTAGAAAGTTGAGAGGTCGAGCCCTTTGTCAGTTTACTTCAAGCCCCACCTCCCTCTGCGTTTGTAAAGGCGCATGCGTCCGGTGAGATCCACTCTGACTTTAGTTGTTTGCTGGCTATATGTAGCAATTGAGCGTCGTGACTGTGATAGGAGTCAGTACCGTGTAGGATGCAGTTGCTGCATTTGGGGCTCTCAGGACCTTGCAATACAGTTTGTATGTACTTATATTCTCTCCCCAAGATGGACGGTGGCACTTATGAGGGCAAGACTCTGCACTCAGCCCAAGGATTGACACGGGAAATCGGACCCTTTCAGGTTAGAGCTCCGTTTAATTCTTCCACAGCCAAATATGCTATTATTGTTTGGTCCTTTCAATTATGGAGACGGACGTATTGTCTCTTTTGTTTGCAAAAACAATCCGTGGTCATTGTATTTTTTATTTTTTACAGAAAAGTACAAAGAAGAAATAAAAATAAATTATAATCCCAGCACCGAGAGAGTAATTTAATCATATAGTGCGTTTTCTTCCGTCATTCACCCCCTGTGCCAGCGGTTCTCAAAGTGTGATACAGGGACCACCGAGAAGTCCCGGGCTCACTTAGTAAGTTCCTGAAGTCAAAATTACTTGCATAGTAATACTAAGATGTTATTTGCCTTTTTCACTCTCTGAGTGGACAGTGAAGTTTTTCAGAGGTTACGTGACGTGGTGACATCATTGCTCTGACGGCTAATGGAATTGTGCTTTGTGTTTTCTACATTTCTCAATTTTAATGTCCATGGCATATATCAATAGCACTTTGGGATCCTCAGTTTAAGAGTGTAAAGGGATTCTGAGACAAAACAGTCTGAGAACTGTGCCTTATGTTAAATTATGTTTTTAAGAATAGAGGATCGTACTGTTTAGTACCCTATTTTTTCCTCTTCACTTGAATATCTTTTTAAAAAAATATTGAAGTATAACATACATAAAGTGTATATTCTCAAGTGTACAACTCAATGAATTTTTACGTATGTATAGACTTGTGTAACCACTGCCCAGATTAGGTATAGAAAGCGTTTCCAGTAAGTACCCTTGAGCCCTCTTCCCAGACAAAACCCTTACCGAAAGTAGCCCCTATTCTGACTGTATCACGTAGATTAGTTTTGCCTGTTCTTGAACGTTTTATAAATTTTTTAAAGCATGCTTTCTTTTGTGTCTGGCTTCTTTAACTCAACATAATTGTAAGTTTCATTCTTGTCAACTGTTCTGCAACAATATTAGTTTTCAGCTGTGCTGTGTTGCATACTTTGGATGTACCACTGTTGAGTTCGTCAATATCGCCTTGGTGGACGTTTAAATTATTTCCAGATTTTCTGGTTATACCCAATGTTTTGATGCCTTGTAGCCAGTATCCCTATTTGTAGAATTGCCATGGCCTTGGCCATGTTAGGTACACGAAGGAAGGCAGCTTTCTAAGCCGATTGTTTGCAAGATCTGGAATGAATTCGCAATATTCCCATCTCCCATTCTTCGTCACCTTAAAGGAGGGATACTGAGGAAGGGAGGGGAAGAAGGGTAGCAGGGTGCGCAGTGGCCCTGCCGAGGGGACCAACAGGACTGCTCCTTCTCGCCCACGAACCTTATTATTACCCAGAAAGTGTCGCTTGAGTCCTCCTTTGGCCAGCAGGGGGAGTCAGAGGCCCGCAGTGCGCAGAGAGCAAGACCAGGCCTCAGAGCACGCCACCCTCCTAAAAATTTTTCCAACACTCACTAGCCACCATCTCACTTAATCCTGACGTCGCGCCCACTTTATAGATGCAGTTGGGGCTCAGACCAGGCTTACGTATCCAGGATCAGAATTCGAACACAAAGCCACTCGACTCCAGAGTCTTTGCTCCGGTCTGCACGGCTGATGTCTTCCTGTGCTTGGTTTCACCTGTTCACTTAGTGTAATAAGACGGAGAGACGACCGACGTAGGTTTGAATTCCGCCTCCGTCGCTTACCAGCCATCTTCATCTTTGCAGTAGGATAATAATGGTTATTATTCCTATTATTAGGAATTATTGGGATATGAATTTTAAGCGAGTCAAAATGCCGGCATAGTGAGTGTGCAGTAAACGCTGTTTTTTGTTTTTTGTTTTTTTTCCTTTTTGTCTTTTTTACTGACCGGTAACGGGATCGCAACCCCCGGTGTCACGCCTGTACCGGGGACGGCAACGGGATCGCAACCCTCAGTGTTGCGCCGCACCGCGCTCAGCCAGTGAGCGGGAACCGGTCTCCACGTGGGATCGGAACCCTCAGCGGGAGCGCCGCCGCACTCCCAAGCGGAGCACTCTCCAGTGCGCAACCCGGTCGGCCCATAAACGCTGTTTTGAATGAATGAAAGGCCTCCCTTTCTCCGACCAGCCCGGCTCCCTCCTGCCCCCTCGAGGGTACAGACTCTTGTCTGTAGCCAGGCAGGCCTGCGGCCGCCGGGGCGGGAGGCGTCGGCGGCGCAGCCTCCTCCCGCGGTAATTAGCCCGCGCCAGCTGGGCTCCGCCAGCCGCTAATTACACGTCTCTTAATGAGGCCGGCGGCTGTTTGCAATCACCGGGGTCCCCGCCGCGGGGCGCGGGAGGCCCCGAGGGAATCCGCCCGCGGAGGCGTGGAGGGACGGTGGCCTCCTCCGGAGCCCGAGATCCGCTGGCCGGCGGCCTCTGGACGGGGGCGGGTCTCACCGTCTATCCCCTGCTCGGTGCTCTCCCTGACTGCGCCACAGAGTCATTATCATCCCTGCCTACACGCGAGAGGGGACACAGGCTCAGAGAGGTGAGTCTCCCAGGCACGAAATGATCACGCTGGGATAGAATCTAATCCCGGTCTGACCCCGAGCCTGTGTCCTCAACCGATTCCGGTGCCGCCTGGATCAATGGGGTAGTCGCTGTTGTTATTGCTGGTCCTTCTTTCCGGGGCTTCTCAGAGGAGATCCTGGACCGGAACAGATGAGCAGATAAATGGAGGGAGGGGGTAGGGGCTGGGGCTCGAGAAACCTCCCTAGGGTTCCTCCCCTCTTCCCCGTCTGAGTGTTCCCCACTCTCTATTGCCCCTTTCGGTTTGGGGGGGGTTTTGGCGGTTGTACTGTACGGGGATGGGAACCCTTCACCTTGGTGTTACAACACCGCACTCTAACCAACTGACTAACAGGCCAGCCCCTGCCCTTTTGGATCAGACACAAAACTGAATATTAGCTCCTGCGAGGCCTTTCCAACTTACTGGGAAACATAACTCACACAACCCATCTCACGAACTGGGAAACAGGGAAATGAGGAGGTGGTTGGGACACCTGCTGAAATGCTCCCGTTAGAAGTGGGGGGTGAGAGACTACAAGTGTGTATCTTGCTCCCAGGGCCTTCGGGGTGGGATCCAGAGTAGCTGCCTTTCTTCTTCATCCTTATCTCCTGGGCTACCATTTGTTAGACTCTCACTATGTGCCAGGAACTGCACTGAACACTCTGTTTGACTTCATTAAATCACAACAACCCCGTAAGAGTAGGTCTCATTATTCTCTGCGGCTCAGGGAGGGAAATGACTTGCTCAAGGTCACACAGTAATTTGGGCCAACTTCTGTCTTACCCAAAAACCTTTGCTCTTAACCCCTTACTCTCTACTTCCTATTCTGGAATGTCTGGGACCTAGAAGGATGTTCAAGGAAGGAGAACCCAACTGGGGTGCCCTTCTGAGGTGCCTTTGGCATCCAGGGAGTCCCCATTAGAGCCTGGATGCTGCCATGTAGATGGTGGCAAAGGAAAATTTTATCTGCTTCAGCATTTTGTTAAGCAGCCGCTGCTAATTAGGGGCTCCTGCTCCTCTAATCCTATCAACCAATTCCCTGTAAAACCTTTATGGGGACAATCGAGATAAAATTAAACCCTCCATCTGCTTGGCCAGTGGCCTGGCAAGCTGCTGCATCCTCCAGGTTGCTGGGGCAGATGCAACCCTCTCTGGACCTCAGAGGCAGAACACCACATCTTGCTTCTCCTTTGTCCTTACCACCTTGTGGATCTCTCTTCCTGTCCCTGCCTACTGTGACAATTTGCTCATCCAAAAATTAATTGAAATTACAAGGGCACTACTGTTCGACCTAGTAATTTTTCTGCCAGGAGTTTATCCCACAGAGATTCTTGCTCTTGTGCCAAATGACAAGTGAACAAGAATGTGTCTTGTAGCATCACAACAGCAAAAGGCTATCTCATTGTCTCTGAGAAAGCGTCTATTGTGTGTGTATATTTATTGGACAACTATATGCCAGATGATGTTCCCTTACCGGTCATCTTTTATTTATTTATTTATTTATTATTATTATTTTTTCTTTTTCTTTTTTTTTTATTTTGTCAATATACAATGTAGTTGATTATTATGTCCCATCACCAAATTTTTTTTCTTTTTCTTTTTTTATTATTATTTTTTTATTTTGTCAATATACAATGTAGTTGATTATTATGTCCCAT